GTTCTTGAGATCATTCTTGCCAACATCATGACCCCATTTTCTCCTGTGAAGGGATCTGGAATGAGCAGGTAGTTATCCAGCATTTCATCACTCCTGCAGGGGAAATACTATAGTGTCCCTTGGTGGAAGTGTTCCTCCCTTGGATGCCAAATTCTTGATATCAATAGGACCCAAAGTTGCAGAAGTAGGATGGAATTTTTTTTTTTTTTTTTGAGACAGAGTCTTGCTCTGTCACCTTGGGTAGTCACTGCAACCTCAGATCCTGGGCTCAAGCATCCTCTTGCCTCAGCCTCCCAAGTAGCTGTGACTACAGGCGTGTGCCACAACACTCAGCTAATTTTCTATTTTTAGTAGAGATGAGGTCTTGCTCTTGCTCAGGCTGCTCTTGAACTCCTGACCTCAAACAATCCTCTGGCCTTGGCCTCCAAAGTGATGGGATTACAGGTGTGAGCCACCACACCCTGTGCAATTTGTTTTTGAAGTAGACAGGAAGATCCTTCTTGAAATGTTTAGCCTGGCAATCAAATTTAAATTGTGCCACTACAACCAACACTTAATTAACATTATCATGAAAAAAAGCTAAAAAGTCATGTGGATGATTATGATTAGGCCACCAATCAAATTTCAATCCTTAGTTTCAGCTTTTCCCACTACATATAGAGCTATTTAAAGATTATCTCAAGAACTTTCCAGTTGAAAAGACTTTAAAGATTATTCAGTAAGTAGAATCTCTTTTGTTTAATCTCTGATCAACATCAGTCTCTCTGCCTATTCCAAAAATGGTGATGCATGCCTCCTGGGACAGGCTTTTCATGAAGAGAGATTGGGCTAGTCTAGATAGATGCAATCGGAGATTTTAGTAGCTGAGAGAGTGCTGAAATATTTCTGTAACTTAATTTTACAGTCCTAGTTATCTTTATTTGAGAACGCTGGACCCAGTCATTGATCATCTTTTCAGTATTTAAGGCCAGACATCTAATCTCAATTGGGTCTTTTTATCCAGAAAACACCAATTCTCTCACCTATGTAAACATTTTCCAGACTCTATCATCTTTTTCATCTTCTTCTGTATATTCTTCAGTTTAAGATGTGGTATCTAGAATTAAGAACACTATTTCAGGTCTGATCTATGAGTGCTAAGATTCAGTAGTTGATGCTTGTTAATCTTTTAATAATGTGGTCTTAGCCCTGTTAGCAGTTTCAATAAACCTGGATTATATTAAGTTAGTAATTAACTGTCATTTTTTTCCACATTGTTGTAATTTGGATTTTAAGAGGGAGCTGCCTTCAGTGATTATGAGAGACACAGATGGAAATAAAGATTTTGGGGATGTGGAGCAAAAGAGAAAAATGAGACTCTGTCTCAAAAAAAAAAAAAAAAAAAAAGAAAAAATGTTTAACAAAAGATTTTATTACTTACAGGTCCTGGGGGTACACAGCACACCTGGAGGCGACATGCAAGGATGTCATGGAGCTCATGGAAAGAGAGGAAGGGACTGTGGGCCTGTGCCTCCGGGGCATTATCTAAACGTGTTTCCCATGGGGAGTTTTAATTTGTGTGTTTAAAGCAAGCAGGTGCAAGTTCCAGGAGGTCACAAGGTGACTGGGAGATGGTCACTTAGGCACATATGCATAGTCCAAGTGGGGTGCGAGGGTCAGTGGGGCCAGTCAAACAGACTGCATCTGGCAGTTCCATACCAGGAAGCAGCTGTATAAGCCAGATACCAGGACTGACCACACTGAGGACCTGGGAGAGGTGTAGAACTGGTAACTGTGTCAAAGGTGACTGAGCCTTGCTTCTGGTAGCAGACAGTCCAATTTGTATTCAAAATGGATGCTAAGGCAACATAAAAATTCACTATATACATAAATTGCTGATTATCCTAATCTTATGCAACTGATTTCAAAACCTTTATATAAGTCTTCATGATCATTAAGCTTTAGGTTATTGGTTTTGATCTATTGTTTCAGCTAGTTTATATTCTTTTAAATTGTTTTTGTTATTCATTTTGTTAACTATTCTTCCCAGCTTTTCCTTTCCTGGCCTTCCCTTTAAGAATGGTAGACATTCAAAGATGGTATACAAAGAGACAGGATGCCACCTTGGAGAAGGTGGACAGCTCCAGCAAATCTGGTGGATTTATAATGGTCTATGATCTGGGCCTCTTGGAGACTTAGATATGTGATCTAAGGAATATTGGCACAAGGCTATATAAACTCCAATATTAACTTACTAAGAATTATGACTTCCAATTAGACAGTCTTCTTGCTTTAAAGTATATGTTTTAGGCCAGGCATGGTGGCTCATGCCTTGTAATCCTAGCACTCTGGGAGGCCGAGGCTGGCGGATCGCTCAAGGTCAGGAGTTTGAAACCACCCTGAGCAAGAGTGAGACCCCCGTGTCTACTAAAATAGAAAGAAATTAATTGTCCAACTAAAAATATATAGAAAAAATTAGCTGGGCATGGTGGCGCATGCTGTAGTCACAGCTACTCAGGAGGCTGAGGCCGAAGGATCTCTTGAGCCCAGGAGTTTGAGGTTGCTGTGAGCTAGGCTGATGCCATAGCACTCTAGCCTGGGCAACAAAGTGAGACTCTGTCTCAAAAAAAAAAAAATGTACGTTTTATTATTATTCAGGTATGGGGAGGCCAACAGATCAGGAGACAATTGATACTGAAAAGACATTTGTTACTCTCAGCTCCGGAGAGGAGACAGGGTGGGGGACACACCACACTCTGCAGCACCACGTGGGGAAGGACCAGGGTCTCTTGGGAGGCAGAAGGAGCAAGGTGGGCAAGAGCCTTTATTGTGGTGTCTGTGGGAAGAAATAGGCAGGCAGCTCGGCAGGTGGGCTCTGGGGTGCAGGGGGCTGTCTCTAGCTGTCTGGTACCCGGCCTTGGGGTGATCAGGGCAGGGGAGAGTGGTCCCAGGTGTGAGAGCCCCAGAAAGGAGGTGGTTGGGCTCTGGGCCTTGGATTGGTGGTTTGCATATGAAAGGCCTGTTTCCTGGGGGAGGTGTTTTCTACCTCTAGGAATTAGTTAACCCTGGGAGGGGCTATCCCTCTAGAGTCAGCGAGGCCCCAGAGTGTCAAAGCATCGGAAAATAAAAAAATTTAAAAACATGATGAATATATTTCTCATCACCCTGACAAGTTTATTCTCTCCTTTAAGCAAACTATATGGGAGTCAAAATTATTAAAAGGCTACACAGTATTTAATCGGAATAAGGGTAGTTTTATCATTTGAAAATTTAAAAGGTTCAAGATGAGATGCCTGATGGGTGCGTTGTCACCAAGGAATATGCCAGGCAGGTGTTCACCACTTTCCCTGGGCACCACCTTTATGGGCCCTGTCAACACACTCTCAGTAACTGGGGTGGCCCCATGTCCACAAAATGACTCCTGCCATGAATCAGTACTAGCTGTACTCTGAAAATCTTAGTCCCAGGTAACTGTAAAATGGTCTAATCATACCTTTAAGTAAAAGTTAAATCATACTCTTACATGAAGTTAAAATATAACCAAATGCATTAAAAAATATATACATATATACATATCTGATTTCTGTTGCAAACATCTGTGACTCACCATTTAGATCACAATGATTCATTTACTTAATGGAGTGAAAAGTCCCATGGGATGACTTTACAACCATACACAAACACCAGTAATGTTCTTAGGATTGCCAGCAGGTTAAAAACTCTTCCAAATATGGCCCCAAAAGTTTTAATCCTATTAAATATCTTTTTCATGTTGGGATGAGAACAGCAATAAAAGTTATTCTTTCCTCATTTTCTATTTATTCAAAGTAACCTTTGACACAATTTCTCTTGACACATTACGTTAAAATAGTCTTAGTATTTGAGAGATAAATAAAAATCAGCAATAATAAAAATGATATTTTAAATCTTTATTGGTATCATTTTATGAACTAATCCATTTACATATTCTTCCAAACTGTATCCTTACAACTTGAAATTAACTGTTTTTCTCAATATTAAACTTGCAGAAGGCATTTAGCTACCCATATAAACATCAGATACAATTCTAAGTTATGAATCAAAAAATATTTCCAATGTAATTAATATTATGTTCTTCAAAACATTAAATGGAAAAACCTGCAATTACTTTTTAAAATAAAAGCCACAAATAATTAAATAATTACTATGTACATTACAACTTATATCAAATAACTAGGAAAAGCATTACACCAAATATTAGGATCACCTCTACTCACAGAAGGCAAAAAATATTATATATGACAATCATCAAATTAATACACTCAGGATTTATATAGTCTGATTTATTCTTTGTTGAGAAACTGCTAGGTTGAAATAAGGATTCTTTGTATAAACACCATACCTTGAAGTTATATAGATAATTTAGTTATTTTATATTTTATAATAGTAGCATGGTATTCATTTATTTTGTTAGAAGTTATTCACAGGTCCTAAAATACTAGATGATTGGAATGTCACATTAAGGAAATTATCATTATATATCCTTATTATATAAATGTCTAATAACTACATATCCAAAATAAAAAGATATCACTTAATATTGACTGAATATTTTGTGATTTTCTATTGGCTTTTTAAATTTTAGCTAAACTAATCAGTTTTACTTTTAAAAGCAAAGCAAGCACTTAGTTTCTATTTGTGATAAATCTCAAACTTTTTTTGATTGTTTCTTTTGAAAGACAAGAATAATTTGATATAAGTAAAGAGGAATGCTTTTTAACTTTTGTATTATATTACCTTGCTACTGGAAACCTATGGATTGTTTTTCAAAAGTAATAATAGGAATTAAAAGATATGGAGAAAGAATAATTCCATATGATAACCTTATAGGTGAGTTTATTTAAAACAACAACAAAAAAAGCAAAAAACAGCATACAAACAATAGGACTAGGCACATATTATTAGTAGCTTGTAAAACTCTGACCTGCCAGTTTGACACTGATTAAGCTGATACCACGAATATTGTAGTTGTCCATTCTACTATGGCGTTTAAACTTTAAAAATTTTAATTAGATTTTTACCTACCTGCAGTCAACATTTTTTAAGAATTAGTTCATTCTTTCTTTGGAGCTTAGGTTTATAGATCCTAGAACATTTTATCGCTGTTAGAGTTTTCTGTTATGCTTTTGGGATCATAGTAAATTACAATCTTATTTATTGACTTGAAATGTTAAAAAAAATTATTGACTTAAAAACTGTTTCCTAATAAAATATGTAGCCAATCTGAAATTAAAAAAAAATTATCTCCAACATATGTGGCCTTCTTTCTTTGCTGACTTTTGTTTACTTATTTATTTTTTTAAAGAGACAGGGTTTTCGCTCTTGCTCAGGCTAGTCTCAAACTCCTGAGCTCAAGCAATCCTCCTGCCTTGGCCTCCCAGAGTGGATTACTGGCATAAGCCAACTTGCCTGGACATGATTTTTGCTTAAATGACAAATTTGGACCACATGAAGGTTGTTAAATATTGGAGGTTTTAAGAAAAATAGCTGTCATTTCGCTTGAGATAATTTCCTTAGCAGAAATTAGATATTATTTGTGTGTTCATGGTGACAATATAACACACATTACATTTTGATCTGCCTAACCATTATGGACTAACCAATTAAAAGATTTAAAAGGATGAACATTTATGATTTCTTCTCTAATTCCATATTTCTCTGATACAGCCATTTGAAGAAAACATGTTTTCTATCCATCTCTTAAAAATTTACTAATTGCTTAATTTGTTCTGTTTGCAATGATTGTCTCCTCAACAACATTTTTTTACTTTTCAATTCTTTAGGGAAAATAGGAACTGTTGGAACAAACACTTTTTGGCCACAAGAAAGAAGGCTGCAAATCTTGTTGTTGACATTGATATCTGATATGGGAGGGTGAGGATTTACATTTAAGGGTGGCAGGAATCCTGGTCTGATTTGAGTAATATTGTGATCTAATGGGAAAGCTCCCGAACCCCGCCTTTCTAGAACTGCGTGATTTCTCCTGCTCAGGACACCTGGAGGCACATTCTCCAGCAATTCTTTGGAGCCTGACACTTGTGAAGGAGATGGCGAAAGGATCTTTTTCTTTCCTGTAAGTGCTTTGCCATCTTCTAAAGGGGTAAGACCCGCTGAGAGCTGGGAATCAGAGCTGTAGTGATTTGCCCCCGAGTTTCTTTTTTGAACTATACTTCTTAAGGTGGAAGTAAATATTGTCTGGGTAGAATCTGGGTCCTGGTCAATAGGGATTTCAATGCATTGCTGATTTCCTTCTGAAAAAGGAGACTGATAATTTATTTCATCATATGACATCTTCCTTGAGCTGGCCTGATCAAAGGCTCTCAGCAAATGTGCAGTGTCTTTTACATCAATGCTTTGGTGCCTAGTGATGAATCGCTTGGAAAATGCCAGCGCATTGGTTTTATAGGATAATTCTTCCTCTGGAGTAATATCCTGGAGCTCCTCTTGCAATGAGGCCACTCTGTTCTGGTGCATTAAGGATGGGGTATTCTTGAGCCACAGCGGAGCCTGGGGTAGCTTGGACCCATTAAGGGCCACAGCAGCCTTCCTCCCAGGGGAGCTTGGGTCCCAGGGATCATCACTGCTTCCAGAGAGCTCACGATCCTTAAAGCCATAAAGTGTCAGTTCAGCTTCAGAAGAATGTGAACGTGACAACGAGGCTGTTTTGATGTCTACTTCTGAAGGAGTGGTGCAGGAGGCTGGGGAGTGACTCCCATCTATGTCCACAGGTGGCATATTTAAGTACTGTTTGGTAGTGTGCTTCCCAGAGGGCGATTTTGCTGTCGTGATGATGATGACCTCTTTCCCTTTTGCTTTGCAAGCACTAAGCAGAACTTTCAGAGTCTCTCTATCTTCCGAATTTATAGCATAAACAAGAGCCGAGTAACTAGAATGGTCTTGCAAGCTGAGGTCAGCCCCGCTCTTGAGGAGCAAAGAAACAACTTCGGGACCAGCTTTTTCTAAGCAAGCATGCATCAGAGCAGTTTTCCCAGACTTGTCCTGTATGTTGGGATCAGCATTGTTCTCTAACAGGTATTTAACCATTTTGGCTTTACTGACACTCTGGTGATCAACATGTTTGGTCTTACAAGCGATCATTAAAGGTGTTTCCCCACGGTCGTTGCTCTCATTAATGTAGGCACCGCCTTCTAGCAAAAGTCTTGTGAGGCGAAGCCGGCTCTGATGGACTGCTTTGATCAAGGAATTTCCATCACTTGAAATTTCTATACTTTCATCCATCTTCAAAAATAAAAAATCAATGCCTGGTTATCAGAGAAGATGAAAACCAAACGATTAGCCAGAATCAATACCCCAATTTATATTCATTTTGTCACTCATAATTAATTTCTCAAATATGTACAAATAGGACATAAATGGGATTATGCTATTGATAAATGCGGAACAAAATGGTGAATTGCAAAATAAAAGTTTTAGCATAGTAATAACCTTTAGGGAGTGTAACAAACTAAAATTTATTTTCAAAATCTTCATTTAATATTTATGATGTAACACCAACACAGTACTTTCCTAAATCCCATATTAAACAATAATCCACTTATTTTCTACTTGTGAAAAATATTTTTAAAATTAATATTGGCTGGCCTAGGTGGCTCATGCCTGTAATCTTAGCACTTTGGGAGACCGAGGCAGGAGGATTGCTTAAAGTCAGGAGTTTGAGACCAGCTGGAGACCCCACTTTACAAAAATTAGCCAGGCATGGTGGTGCATACCTGTAGTCTTAGCTACTAAGGAGGCTGAGGAAGGAGGATCGTTTTAGCCCGGGAGTTTGAGGTTGTAGTGAGCTATGATGATACCACTGCACTCTAGCTCTGGGCGACAGAGTAAGACCCTGTCTCAAAAAACAAACAAAAAAACCAAATATGGTAACTTAATGTAAAGACTTTAGTATTAAATTACTTACACATGCTCTTCAATTAGATAATGCAAGTGATATTTAGATTTTCAATTTGAGGGGTATTTTTATGTTTCTTTCAAAGGATGGAAAATTGTTCGGACCATGAAACATTAAAATAACTGACACAATGTCTGAAATTCACACTGAGATTGGAATGGTGAGCATGTGATTATGCATTTTTCTTGATTCCATTATTTAAATCATATACTGACTAGATTATGGGGTTAGCAACAACTACTGGGTAAAATTCTGACAGCAGTACATTTGCGCTGAAAAAGGAGTATTATAGGCAAGAAAGAAGAAAGGAGCCATGCAGACTTTGTAAATACTTTAATTTTTATCACTGAAACTAAAAAAAAATTTATGTTTAATTTATTTAAATATTTTAGATTCAAAATCCTTTAACAGATAAGCCCATTAGGTGGTAAGAATTACATCTTCATCTAGAGCTAAGGACAGTTTTGTCTTTTAACAGTCCTTAGAGTAGGGGAGAAAAATCAGATAAAGAAATTTTAGAAATTGAAAAACATTTATTCTACCCATTTACTTATTAAATTAAGATTATGGGACATGAATTTCTATTTGATACTAGAATAGATAACAAATCTGGGGGAGGGGGCTGTAAAAAAACACAACAAATCTAATAACCTCTTAACAGAAAGAAGAGAGTAGATAGAAAGTGAAGAGAAGGAGAAAAGTAGGCATGCACACAGAAATTAATTCCATTGTTAAAACATCTAAAAGATCTTGATATGTGCTAGGCACTGAGCTAAAATACACCTACCCATGAGGCGCTCACAGTCTTTCAGAAGAGATGTTGTATAGGCAGCTGGTTATAGTAAGAATCATGAGAACACAGAGCTTTAACAACTTACGGACTGAAAAGGACTTCACAAAAGCTGGATCTTGAAGACTGTATAAGAATTTGGCAGGCAGACAAAGGGGGAAGGAAGAAGGGAGAGCACTCCTCATGCAAAGACTTAGAGGCATAAAATAGCAGTTTGTTTATAAAATGAAACAGGCTCTATTTACCCAGATATAACTGAACTTCAAGAAAATATTTCAGCAGATGGTTAGAGTTAGGGTTAATATGGCAGAACACACACATCTAATTTTGTTCCGTCTTGAAACCCCCTAAAACTAAAAAAAAAAAAATGTTGAAAGGACATAAATTCATACCAATAGAGGGAAAAGGAGGGAAGATGGCAGCAACAACATTTTGGAAACCAGAAAGCAGATAGGCCAGTAGTAACTGACTCAGCCAACTTGAGAAATCCTTTAGAACTGGAGGTGGGAGCAGGGAGTGAAGAATACAGCTAAAATAAGGAGGACTAGGTGAAAAGCTGTTAGAGAAGCAGTTAGATTCCTACATCCTTGCTACTCGAAGTGTGATCCTACCCTGGACCAGCAGCTGCAGCGGCAGCCCCCGGGGAAACACCATCATCAGAAAGCTCATTGGGTGTGCACAATCTCAGTCTCCATCCCAGAGCTGCTGAATCAGAGCCTACATTTTCACCAGATGCCCAGGTGATTTGTTTGCCCATTAAAGTTCGAGAAGCACTGTCCTAGGTCATTCCTCCAACTCCAAGCCACTAGGAGATAGAGACTACCCTTCTCCCACCCTAAGGGATGTCCAGAGGTTTATTCTCTGAAAATGTGAAACAGAGGGCATATAGACTGGACACCAGGCATATTTGAGAACAGGACAATAGGGGAAGAAGAGATTGTTTCCTTGTTTGCTTACTGGCCACTGCTGAAGAAACGGATAGCCTACTTCCCCAGCTTGGTTCCAAGAAGGCTGGCAGCTATATACACTTAGTGCTCAGGCAAAAATCGCTGCCCACTCTCTCAAGAATCTGACCTGCCTAAGAGAAAACAATGAAGAGTACTGACCACAGGATTCCCCTACGTGCCACTCACATCATCCTACAGTGAGCCTTACAGGTGACAAGCCTCACTTGTGTGCTCAAGGCTTCTCATCATTTTTAAAAATCCCAACCCTTTAATCATGAGTGGATGGCCCAAACAAAAGTCAAAAAACAAAAATGCCTCCTACATTAAAGATTAGAACAAATAGGAAAAAGCAACTTGGAGGAAACCGATGTTAGCCAGGAAAATGAAAATTTCAAAAACACATCATCCTCAAAGTGCATAAGAGGATGTAACTGTGAAACAAGAATAAGTTTTTATGATAAAGGAGTATTCAGAGACCATAAAGAGAGCTTCCAAAAGGTAAAGGTAAAAATATGATACAAGCCTGAAAAACTCAATAGAAAGGTTGGATGATAACATTAATAAAATCTCTAACATAGTAAAAACAACAACAAAAACCCAAGACAATTAGAGGACTAGACCAGGAACTCCAACATCCAAATAATAGAATTTTCAACAGTAGTGGGGGTGGGAGGAGAAAGGGGCAAGCAGAAGAGGAAATCACCAATGAGATCAAGAAAAATTTCTACTCCTGAGGGACTTGAGTTACCAAACTGAAATGGACCAATTAGAACATAGCGAAATGAATGAAAACAGACCCTGACCATGGTGCATGGTTGTAAATTTCCAGAACATTGAGAACAGAGAACATTCCACAAGCTAGGAGTTAGGGGTATGGGCCTGGGGGGTGGGAGTAATTCACACACTAAAGCAGGAGGCCCCCACCTTTTTGGCACCAGGGAAAGTTTCATGGAAGACAATTTTTCCACAGATGGAGGTGGGGTAGGCAGAGCTCAGGTAGTGATGCCAGCAGCGATGGGGAGCGGCTGTAGTACAGACGAAGCTTTGCTCACGCGCTGCTGCTCACCTCCTGTTGTGCTTCCCACGCCTAAGCTTCAAGAAAGACAATTTTTCCATGGATGGGGCGTGGGGTGAAAGAAGGAGACAGACAGAGCTCTGAAGCCCTGTTCCTCACAGTCCACAGACCAGTCAGTACCAGTCCAAGGCCCAGAGGTTGGGGACACAGCACTGAAGGATCCAGAATTAATATAGATTCCGATAAATCAACAATGAAAGACAATGAAGGAATGTCTTTAAAAATCTGAAGAAAAATTATTCTCAGCTTAGAATTCTATATTTAACAAAATCATCACGCAAGAATTGGGATATACGCTCACGAACTCACTGGAGGATGTAATCTATAAAGATGAAATAATAGAATAAGAAAAAAGAAAACCTGAGATACCAGGGGCTGGAGAGCATCACAGGCTCTGAACTCCTCCGGAAAATGGTGAAGGGGGACGCCGGGATGATGGCTGTGCACAGACATCCTCTCTGAGATCAGGCTGCCATATTATTATCTTGTTAGACAAGAACCAAACGCCCAGAGGACCCTGCCCTCAATTCTTGTCTCTAACTTGTGTTGTCCTGGCCACATCTCTGCTCGCTCCTCCATGTCTGCTTCCTGAGGCAGCCAACGGCACTCAGGTCAGCTCTGTCGAATTGCTCTGCTCTGACTGCGGGTGGTCTGACCTGGTGGGCTTAGGAGGAGAAAGACTGAACAGCACATTCCCTTCGGATATCCAGTCCCTGGTCTACACTGCAGCCCTGCCAGAAGCTGTGTAACAGTGACGCCACGTTTCCCAGGACTCACTTGTGACCTGGCCTGGAGGGGCTCATGAACAGCCTTGAGCCGATTGAGACCCAGAGACAGACAGCTCAGCTCGTCTTCTCCTGAGAGCTCCCATCAAGTTCAGGCAATACTGCCCTTTCTTTATTCATCTAATTTTGTGCCTGCTACCAGTTTTTTAAAAATAAGCATTCTACTTAGGGATCATACAGAAGCAAGAAACTGAAAAAAAAAAAAAAAGAGATAGAGCAAAGGGAATGATTAATACAAAAGTCAAGAAAAAGCTCCCTCTTGGTGGGGACTGGGAGAACAATGCCATTTGGGAGGGACACGAGGAGGCCTCCAAGGTTCAGGTGATGTTCTGTTTCTCAGTCTGGATGGTGTGGGCGCGTGTCCGTTTTATTATTATTCTTTAAACAGTTTGTATTTCACACACTCTTCTGTACAATACCACTCTTATCTATTTATTGTAAAACAGAACGTGTACACAGAAAAGCACATAGCATATAGGAAGATATATTTCGATATTAAAATTTACAAATAGTCATATTAGGTCTTCCTTTTCACAACACAATTCTGTTCTCATGGTATCATCAATCATATTTGTGCCTAAGCTTTCAGTTGGAGTTTCAACTAACTTGTAGTAAGCTCCCGAAAGGCAATATTCAAAAGAACATACTTGTTCATCTCTACTTTGGTATTATTTGTAATGCAAAGCAAAGAACTGCTACTCCACATATACAAGCACAAATACAATGAAAGTGGGTGCTGTGGTTTTATGTTCCCTGTGCCACATTCTATAAAAGCTATTCCAGAGCCAGACATACCTGCAACTCAGGATTTTAGGAATGTAGGATCCGTTGACAGCTTGGGTCCCAACTTGGAGGTCTATTGTGAATGCAAACCATCTGAAAAGAGCTCATGTGAGACAGTGTGAACCCAAAAGAAACCCTCTTTTAGCATTTTTCATATACAAATGAGTTTAATAGAGCAAAGAAACTTAGAGAAACAAGCTAGAACATAGTATCAAATATAGAAACCACTTATAACGACAATTCAGGAAACTATACAGTATCAATCATAAAAAAAAAAAAAGCAAACCTTTGACCAAAATTAGCATTTGAGAAACAGATATTCAAAGAAGAACAAGTTGCTAGATAACAGATTTCAATATTATACTTTCATATAGTTTCTATTATTTGAGGCAATCTTTTCTTTCTTTTTTCTTTTAAAGTCTTACAAGGATCTTTTGGGAAAGACTTTCTACTTTCATCCATCCTCAGGTAAAGGCCTTTCTCTGCAACACTAAACCTGAGCACCAAACCTGACAGCATTTTCTGTCACAACTTTTCTGTCACCAAGGTTGGCATCAGGAAGTGCTGGGAGAAGGGGGCCGGCAATGTCCTTGTGACTGGTGTGCCAGAGGAGGACAGTGGCCCCGTGGTGCCCTGTGGGGAGGGAGGGTGCTGTGGGCTCCAGCATCTCCAAGAAGCTGCCTAATCTGCCCACCGTGTGGACGCAGGCAGACCTCTCCCCTGAAGACTAGAGGAAAATGACCCCGTGAGGTTTACTCTTTCCTCATTACAAAGACTTTTTTTTTTTTTTGAGACAGAGTCTCACTCTGTTGCCCTGGCTAGAGTGCCGTGGTGTCAGCCTAGCTCACAGCAACCTCACACTCCTGGGCTCAAGCAATCCTGCTGCCTCAGTCTCCCCAAGTAGCTGGGACTACAGGCATGCGCCACCATGGCCCGCTAATTTTTTCTATATATTTTTAGTTGGCCAATTAATTTCTTTCTATTTTCAGTAGAGACAGGGTCTCACTCTTGCTCAGGTTGGGTTCAAACTCCTGACCTTGAGTGAGCCTCCCACCTCAGCCTCCCAGAGTGCTAGGATTACAGGCATGAGCCACCGAACCCTGGCCTCCAAAGACTTTTAAAGCCACTTGGCTTTTTAAAATTTAGTAGAGCAATTTTGGAAGTTGTTTAAACACTAAATTTTTCAGGGAAAAAAGTTGTGAAATATTTTATTCTCCAAATGTCTAATACATGTTTGGGTTCTTGTTTTGTTATCAGGACCTTAATGGAATAATCCCTTCTTTAGGCCTTCATCCTTTTCAGTTGCTTCTTTTATCTTGCCCAACAATTTGTACATCAAAAATGCCAGTATTTGGCAGGGCGCGGTGGCTCACGCCTGTAATCCTAGCACTCTGGGAGGCCGAGGCAGGCGGATTGCTTGAGGCCAGGAGTTCAAAACCAGCCTGAGCAACAGCGAGACCCCGTCTCTACTATAAATAGAAAGAAATTAATTGGCCAACTAATATATATAGAAAAAATTAGCCGGGCATGGTGGCGCATGCCTGTAGTCCCAGCTACTTGGGAGGCTGAGGCAGCAAGATTGCTTGAGCCCAGGAGTTTGAGGTTGCTGTGGGCTAGCTGATGCCATGGCACTCACTCTAGCCTGGGCAATAAAGCGAGACTCTGTCTCAAAAAAAAAAAAAAATGCCAGTATTTAAGTCTTAAACTCCCTTTTGATGAAGAACACTTCTCCTGCCTAGAATGCCCTTTCCTCCTGCGAAACATCCTGACTGAAGGTCCTGTGCTGACATCTATCACATTAACATTCAGTCAGACCCTTTGTTCTAGCTAGCTCACAAGCAATTCCCAAATTCAGTTACATCTTCCATGCAGATGACAGTTCACCTGGAGAGAGTTCAGGGACCAGACAGACCCAGGTCTCAATCCTGACTCTCTAGCTCTCCTACTTATTAGCTGTATGCCCCTGGTCAAGTCTCTCAGCCTGTCAGAGTCTTGGGTTTCTCATGTGTGGAACAAAAACCATATAACATTCATTCCACAGATGTGTGGTAATGAAATCAGACCATGTCTAGAAAAGTATTTTTTTGTTGTGCCTTCCTACTCACTGCATTCTTCTTTTTAAACATTTTATCTCAAGATTAGCTTTCTTTTACTTATTTATGTATTTGCTTATTTTTTGAGACAGGGTCTCACTCTTTTGCCCAAGCTAGAGTACAGTGGCATCATCATAGCTCACTGCAACCTCCAATGCCTGGGCTCAAGCGATCCTCCTGCATCAGCCTCCTGAGTAGCTGAGACTACAGGCCCACACCACCACACTTGCCTGGTTTTTAAATTTTTTTGTAGAGACAGAGTCTTGCTATGTTGCATAGGCTGCTCTCCTGGCCTCAAGCAATCCTCCCACTTCAGCCTCCCAAAGTGCTAGGGTTGCAGATGTAAGCCTGGCCTTTTGTGCCTGGCCTTCTTTTATTTTTGTCATGTCTCTAATCCACAACCTATTTAAGTAACAGATAAAATCTTGAAAATGTATTTTTTAGGATTTGTAAGTAATGTTTTGTAAACATAACTGGAATTTAATAAATGAAATATGGAAAGACTATATCCTCTAAATATGTTTTCCTTATAATTTCCAAATATAATAATTTCAACATTATAAGATATTAATTATTAATATCTTATCAATTAAGCAGCTGGATAAATATATTTTATTTTAAAATTAGAATGTCTTTAACATCACTTGCAATTCATCATGGCATATTTACCATGCTCCTTTAGTGCCTCTCTCTATGCCTAAGACCTCACCAAAATTATAGTTTAGTTATCTTAAAAATATTTTAAAAATATGTATTTTCAGCTGGATGTAGTGGTGCATGCCTGTAATCCCAACACTTTGGGAGGCTGAGGTGGGAGGATCACATGAGGCCAGGAGTTTGAGACCAGCCTGGGAACATAGCAAGACCTCATCTCTACAAAAGAAATGTAAAGGATCCTGGACTTTTGGCCTCCAGAACTATGAAAAAATAAATTCCTATAGTATAAGACAAAAAAGAAAATTTTTTTTTAATTAGCCGGGCATGGTGGTGCGTGCCTGTAGTCCCAGCTACTCGAGAAGCTGAGGCAGGAAGATCACTTGAACCCAGAAGTCTAAGGCTGCAATGAGCTATGACCGCACTACTGCACTCCAGCCTGAACGACAGAGTGAGACTCCATCTCTAATATATATATATATTTTTTTTTCAAGAAAAAAATGGGAGAGAAATATCATCAGATGAGTGATTTCAAACAACCTGTAGGAGCAGAGGGGATAGTGGAGTGGCAAATGGCCTTCGCATAGCCGAAGAGTCTGCAAGATAAAGAGCCAGGGAAGATGGTCCCAGGTGGGAAGAAAAGCATGAAATTTAGGACTTGGAGGTCCCAAGCACCACTGAAAGTGGCGATGAGTAACAGGGCTGTAAAAAAGAGGATGGCTGAAAGTCTGTGGACAGAACAACTTGGCGCCCAGCTATTTTACCTTACCCCAAGTAGCAGGCGATAACTTTTCTAGGCAAGAAAATGAAGATTCTTCTCTGAACAAATTGATCAGAAAAGCTACAAACTTAATAGGCAGCATGCTGAAAACGTGGGTTGAATGAGGGTCCGCTGGCTGAATGGTGGCTTCCCCAGCCCCCTGCCATGCTACCGAGGGACTGGAAGCCAGGACAAAGAGGTAAAAAGCACTGCATCTTAGAATTATGAGCTCTATTAAAAATATATGGTGATAAATGAAGCAATTCAAACCATAACTTCACTCACCCTTCCAGACACCCACTCTAAATGGAAATAGAAAGTTACCTGAAAACATTATTCAAAATTTCATACTTCACTCTTGTCTCTTCTCTCCCTGGATGAGTTCTCCGCCAGCCAGCTGTCAGTGCCTACTGAAGGAAATCAAAGCTATTCAGAGTTACATAAACACCGATAATTTGTTGCACGCATCTTTCCCATTTGGAGTCTAGGTTTTTAATTCCTTGTTAAGAAATCCCTACAGTGTTTGTTCAGTTCATCATATTTCACTGATTATGAGTTTGTAAAGTGTTTGGAGTAGATCCTATGTATGGCAAGCCAGCTCGCGTCTGTCTGCCAGATGGTGCCAGTCCTGCCGGGGCCGGAGAGGCCTCACCTGGCCCGGCCCCCATTTCGTTCAGATGAGGCAGGTGGAGAAGGAAAGGTCACTCAGCTCACTTATTTGCTTACCAGGGTTCAATTACACATGTGTGTCCTTTATCTTCCTACCTCCCTGCCTCTGGGCTGGCCAGCTTCCCACACAGCTGGGTTCTGTTTCGAGTACCTGATTTGTGTAGCATCTTACATGGTAGTGCCACATGGACAAGCCATCTTGGGGATGCCAGGCTGGGCCTTTCCCGTGGCGTTTTCTCCCCATGCCGCCCCCAGCTTTCCTTTCATTAGGACCAAAACATGACTTTCTTTTGTGCTTTTTTACTCTACTGCCAAATAGGACCCATGCTCCTGCCTATAAAGTTCATTGTCTGGGCAGGAAACGGGTTAGAAGTTAACAAATGGGTTTGAAGCTCAAACTCTGGCCCCTCACCCTGGCCCAAGTCCCTGCCCTTGTGCTAGTCCCCCACAGGGGACTAAAGTGTGCTTGGAGGAAGCAGCCAGGTGTATATCAGGGACCTGGGCTCTGTCTCTCTCCAAGTTACCAAACTCTGAAAAGCCACTCCTTTGAGCCTTAGTTCCCTCATCACTAAAATGGGGATAATGTCTCCTTTACAGTAGATGATTGTGAGGATTTTTGAAGCTCTTGATGCACTTGCTACTTAGGCATTCAATAAATGTCAGTTTCTAAACATGATTCACCAAATACAGGTACTGCATATGTGCCTCTTCTGGGCTGGTGGGGTCTAATGATTGGAGGCCAAGTTCCTGACCCCAGTGGGCGTTCCTCTGTTTGTAGGCACAGGAATCACATGAAGAGCCTGTTAAAAATAAAATTCCAGGCTCCACTCCCAGATATTCAATAGGAGGTGCTTCCTATGCACACTTGGAGAAAATCTGAGGCAAACTCTTCATTTCTCATTCCAGGCCTGCTTCCTGTGTGCTACCAACCCCTGCCTCAGCGTCATACAGCCTGTCTCCACCACCACTTCCCAGTGGTTCTAGCTCAGCTCCCTGCAGGAGTGAAGGCCAGGGATGGCTGCTACAGCAGAGACAGGGGTAAAGGGAGCCCATAGGTCCCAGAGAAGAGGACAGCCTTGAGTTAGAACCCGCCAGAGACTGAAGGTGTGCTGCCCTGCGTTTCCCAGACAGGTCTGAAAAAGTCCAGAGTCCCAGTGGGCAGCCCAAGGCCACGATGCAGGGCCGGCTGCACTGGGAATGAGGCAAACCTGCCGGCCACAGGCAAAATATGTCTCCTCCAAACAAGGAAAGGGGCAGAGCCAGAATAAAAGAGATTGCATCTGAGACTGTCCCAGGAAGTGTAAGGACTGGCCAGGAAAAGGGTTCTTGCCTGGCTCCGTCTTGTAAGAAATATTTAGAAACTGCCCAAGGAGAGGAGTAGCTGGTAAGGTCCGCTGTGTTTCCCACACACACCACCACAGGACTGGCCGTCTTCTCGCAGGCCTCTAGGGCTGGGCCCTGGGGCATCCACACCCCGACCTCTGTCAGTAGATTTCCCTACCCCCCAACACACACACACAAACACAGAGAGAGAGAGAGAGAGAGAGAGAGAGAGAGGGAGAGACCAACCTGCACCTCCAAGTCTCAGGGAAGACTGGGGAACCAAGGATGTCCAAGCTGTTGAGGATGCTGGCAGCGTCTCCACGGTCCCCGCCGGCTCCTGGAACCGAGCGCAGTTACTTAATTTTTCCCGAGAGCGGGAGGAAGTGAGCCCAAGGTGCTGTCGGAGAAGGGCAAAGGAAGGTGACTGGGGCGACAGCGCCAGGGCACCGATGGGGGCGGGGTGCGCGTTTCGTCGCCTCATCTCTAAGCCAGGGCGGGCAGCTGGCAGGCTGAGGCGATCGCCATCCGAGAAAACGGGCAATGCCCAGAGCCGCTGCGGAGCGGTCCCTGTGCCGCCCACCCGCCCGGAGGACGCGGCCCTCTCTCGGACAATGGCGCGTCCGAGGGGAGCATCCACGGCCCCCATCCCGGAGCAGGCGCACCTCCGCACCCCTGCTCTCCGCTACAGGCGTCCGGCATCCTGGTGCCAACGCTGTGCGCACCGGAGAGGCGCTGGGACCCGGCTGTCCACCCCTGCGTGGCTGCGGCTTCCGGAGCCAGCGGCTGCAAACGGCTCCGCAGCCCCCAGCCCGCCCTCCGCGCCCAGCCGGCACCTCCCGCCGCCCCGCGGCCGCGGCACCTGCGGAGACGCGCCCAAGTCGGACCGTGCGACCCGCGCGCTTCTGCGGCCGGGCGCGCGCCGCTTCAGCTGCGGCGCCGACCTGCGCCCCCGAAGCCCCTGCCTCTACATCCCGCGGCCGGGCAGCCCGGGTCCGTCCCCGCAGCGCGGCTGGGCCGAGAAGGAGGCGGAACCCGCATCCCGGCGGGGTCCAAGTCCAAGCCGCCGCAAAGCCGGAGCCGACCACGGGGGTGGGGGGACTGCGGGAGGCGCGAGGGGGAACTCGAGTGGAGCGCGCCCCGGGGTGGCGGGGCAGAGTCTCTGGAGAGGCCCCTGCAGCCCAATGGTCCTCGGTTGGCGCTGTGTCTCGAACCCCGCTCAGGGCACTGCAGTGTCAGGGTTTGCGGGAGGTGCGGGCTCCCAGGGCCTGCGCGCACCCGGCGGGGCGCACGGAGGTCGCGTGGCCGCGGGGCCCCGGGCTGCGCCCTCGGTGCCCTCCTCCCGGCGGCCGCCACTGCTAACCAAAGTTTCCCCAAGTGCAACGGGCGAGACGGCGCCGCACACCGACCTGGGACGCGCTGTCGAGTCGGCAGCGGCGCTGACAGCCTCCCCGGGGCTGCCCGACCCTTCGTGCGTTGGCCCTAGGGCCCCGTCCGAGCTGGGTTGTTACCTTCCGCTCCTCGGCGGCTCGAGTCTCAGATCTCCGTAGATGCCGCCCTGTCCCCGCCCCTGCTCGGCGGAGAGAGGCGGGCGGCGGGCGGCGAAGTGCTGGAGCGGGGCCGGGGGCGCGCACCTACCTCGCCACACGCCCGGGCGGCGCGGCGCTTCCGCTGCGAGTGACGCCGGCTCCCTGCTGCGCCGCAGGTGAGGGCGGCGGGGCCGGTCGGGACTCGAGGGGCCAGAAGCTGTTTCCCGAAGCTCCGCCTCCTGTCCCCACAAGCGCCACCCCCGTCGCCTCCTGCGGCCACCGCGCTTTGGCGTAGGCGACTTGGCTGAGAACTGGGGCGGCGGGGTCTCCCCATTGCGGAGACCTACAGCATGGCCCCTGGGCGCTGCCTTCCGTGTCCCTCCCCTCAGCGCGTATCCGCCCTGCCGGTCCTCGGGTCCGGACCCACCTGCCCGTCCTCGTCCCTGTCCCCCCACTAGGTAAAGCCAGAGCCTCACCTCAGTTTGCGGTGTTAGCGGGAGCAACCGTTCTTGTTCTTCTTTTTAGGAGTTTAGAACTTTATTACACTGTTATTAGAACATTAATAGAACATTTTAACAACATTTCACAAAATACATTTCATGTATTAAACTCCACTGAGAGATAAAGAAAGGGGAAATCAAGTAGAAGCAACTTTTTAAAACTCTTCATTTATCCTGGAGGATCTTGTGGAAAAATGACCATCACTATCTTTCGTTATTCAGGTAACGTCCATCAAAACTAGTCTGTAGTTTTGAGTCCTCAAAGAGGGAAAGTAGATTGATCTCTGGACAGGCTTCCTTTATTAAGGAAAATAACCCGCCGAAATGGGCTCTTTAGTAAACACACGTAAAGCAAGTTCACAGGATATTTGACCCCAGAGTTGGGCTCTAGGGGGTTGGCGTCCTGGAGGTAGGTTGCCCTTTGCCTACACTGACTGTCTGCAGGTTACCAGGAAGGACTGGGCAACTCCCCCTTTACCAGCTCGTTTTGTTTTGTTTGTTCGTTTTTATCAATGCAGAGTGTACGTATTAAAAGCTGCATATTTCACAAGTTCAATGGTTTTGCACAAACTGAAGCATTATCCAGATCAGGAAACATTACCAGCTCCCCAGAAGCCTCCCTCAAATCCCCCAGTGGAGGGAGAAGCGGCTTCAAACAGCATGTATTAGCTGTGCTCGTATTTTGCACTTTACAGCGATTGAATCATACAGCAGATACTCTTGTTGTTTTGCTTCTTTCACTCAACATCATGTTTAAGAGATGTACACTGTGTGTGGTGGTTTGTTGATTCTTTTTTGCTGCATAGCATTCCACTGTGTGAATGCACCTCAATTCTCAAGTTGGGGACATTGCAAATAATGCTGCTATGAACATTATAGTAGATGTCTTTTGGTGCACATATGTAGGTATTTCTGTTGGGTACATACCTAGGAGTGGAGCTGTGAGTCATGACGTAGGCATATGTTCGGCTTCGGCCGATATTCCCAGACAGCTTTCCAAAGTAGATGATCCAGTTTTCACTCCTACTTTATTAGTGTTCTATTGCTGCTTGTTACGGCAAACATCACCACGAATTTAGTGGCTTAAAGTAATACAAATTTATTGTCTTACAATTCTGGAGGTCAGAAGTCCAAAGTGGTTTGATGTGGCTAAAATCGAAGTGTTCCCAGGTCTGCATTATTTCTGGAGGCTCTAGGGGAAAATCTGTTTCCTCACCTTTCTAGCTTTCAGAGGCTGCCTGCATTCCTTGGCTGTTGGCCCCTTCCTCCATTTTCAAATATCCTCTCTCTCTCTCTCTCTCTCTCTCTCTCTTTCTCTCTGTCACTCAGCTCTGTTTCTGTTATCACATGTCCTTTTCTCCCTCTGTCTCTCCTGCCTCACTTTTTTTTTTTTTTTTTTGAGACAGGGTATTGTTCTGTCCCCCCAGCTAAAGTGCAGTGGCATCATCATAGCTCACTGCAACCTCCAACTCCTGGGCTCAAACGATCCTCCTGCCTCAGCCTTCCGAGTAACTGGGACTACAGGTGTGCGCCACCACAGCTGGCTAATTTTCCTACTTTTTGTGGAGACAGGTTCTCACTCATGCTCAGGCTGGTCTGGAACTCCTGGCCTCAAGCAATCCTCCTGCCTTGGCCTCCCAAAGTGCCAAAGTGCTAGGATTAAAGGCATGAGACATTGTGCCTGGCCCTGCCTCACTTTTACTAGGACCTTTGTGATTATACTGGACCCACTTGGATAATCTAGGACTATCTTCCATCTCGAGATCCATCCTTTAATCACACCTGCAAAATTCCTTTTGCCATGTAGAATAATATATTCATAGGTTCCAGGCATTAGGACGTGAACCTCTTTGGCAGTCCATTATTTTGCCCACCACACCTATCAGCAGGGTACTGGACATGCTGCATGTCCACAAAAAGGACAATGGAACCTCAAGGTACAGTTTACCTAGAGCGTTTTCCCTGTTGACCTGGGTGCTGTGCCAGGACTGGTGGGCAGGAGAGGGGGGTGATAAAAGAACACCACTTCTGGCCACCACATGTCTGGGACAAGGGGCTTTCCTATAGAGGATGAGAATCTGGATTGATTTGTGCCGGGGGCACCTGTGCTGAGTAAAACATTAAAGAAGGCAGACCCTCCTTCACGGAGGTTGGTGACAGCAGGAAAACAGTGGTGGACACGGCACATCACATTTTGCTCTGTGAACAAGGCCCTGTGGTCAGGGGACAGTGCCCCCGTCCTGTGCCATACCCCTTTCCATTCTCCAGCTGTGAGGACGAATCTGTCCAGGGTTGATGGTGTAATTGTGGAGACCGACTTCCCACAGTAGGACAGGTACGGTTGGATGAGGCTGCAAAGTCTGTGTCCTCCTAATCTGGGAAGGTGTGTCCTGCCATTATTGTAACTTAATGTTAAAGGAAGATAATTTTAACCTTCAAAATTTGAGAAGGAGAATATCTAGATTATACCTGCTTCTGGTCTCATTTTAGTCTAGCAGCCACACCCTTGAAGGAGATAGGACAGATATTTTTATCCCTATTTTACCAATGAGACCACCAGGGCTCCAAGAGCCTCTTTGACTCCCTTAAGGAGGCTCAGGAGTGGCACCAAGAGCAGAATGAGCCTCATAGCTCTTTCCGCTGTCCTGTGTCCTGTCCCACTTCCCTGGTGTGTAGATTCACTGACCCAAGGTGTTCAAGCCAAACTGGATATATCCCATGTCATGGGTGATAAAGTGAGCTTACCTGGAATGTGGGACTCCCAGTCACCATGGTTTTATGCCATTGAAAATATGATTTAGGAAGAATTAAAAGTAGATGCATATGCCTGATAAACATCTTAATCAGAAACCCCCCCATCTATTTTCTGTGGTCTAGAAATATGCTGAAATTTCTGGTCTACTGATGAAATCACCCCAGTTCTCTTCATGATTGTGGTTTATACTCCAGTTCATTTGCTCTCAATTTAATTCAGATCTCAAGACAGAGAGATGTGTGGTTAGTCTGCCATCATGAATTTAAAATCCCATCATAGTCTGCATCATTGATATTTTACTAAAGAAGATAGAATCCTAAGCTTACCGTGAAGACATCTAGAAACCGTAAAATACTCAGAAATTGTTAGGATTAGTTACCTTAGAATTGGGAGTGAGAAGGGAATTACAATAAGAATGGTTAAAACTCTTTTTTACCCACAGTA